TCACTTTTATTACTGTGGTATGGTTTTCATACGTCTTTTGCTTATTGTTTTCTGCTGGGTGTTTAAGACCAAGTTAAAGTGACACCTGTGTTAATCAAAATTAACCTCTTGCTGTCTATCAGGGTCTCCTCAGGCATTACTTTTGGAATCATTTTTTTTTTTTTGGTACCGGGAATTGAACTCAGGGCCTTCTGCTTGCCAGGCAGGCGCTGTGCCGCTGAGCTATATCCCCAGCCCCAGCATCCTGTTTTTAAAATGAAGATCTTGGGTACAGTCCCACGGTGGTGGGGGGAGGTGGCCTCACCAACTCCGATGTCCCGGGTCCCTGTCTTTCTCAGACAGCGTCTCTCCTCTGATAGGCAGAGCTCACACTCGGTGCCCACCTCTCTCGCCAGCACTTAGCCCTCTGCAGCCTGGGTAGGTTTGGGGCACCCCCTGGGGTTAGGAGCTTCTGCACAGCCTTGAGGGCTCTGACAGCTTCCACCTAATCCAAGTGGGGGACAGAAACAAAAGCAGGGGTCTGGCGGCAGTTTTCAGACACAAGCAGCCGGATCTCGTATTTGCTAAAATTGTCTTCTGTAAGATCCTTGCGAACAATGACTTAGCAAATCCAGGACCACGCTCCCAGGGGCACACAGGTGACACTCCTGTAGGCCTCACTCGACCCACTGGTGCCTAACGTGGCCCCGTGCGTGCTTCTGCCCAAGTCATCTCTTTTCATCTAGTTATTAGCATTGAGATTTATTCCTTCTCTTTCCTGCTCTCTGTCTCTCTCTCCGTCTGTCCGTCTGTCTCTATCTCTCCTTCCCTCCTTCTTTTTGTCCTGGGATGGAGCCCAGCAACGCCCCCCCATGCTAGCCAAGCATTCTCCCCCTGAGCTGCACCCCAGCCCCGCTTCCTGCTCAGCAACTGCACAGCCAGCAGCCAGTGACTCGGGCCTGCACGTCGCATGTCACATACGCTTCCTGGGCTGACATAGCGCAGCCTTTTTGTGCTTGGGGAATGAGACAGCACCTCGACTCTCTGCTCAGGGCCATTTGGAACAGCAAAATCACCAAGAAAAGCCACAAAAGCGTGAAACGTTGGCACTCACCAGACCACAGAAGGGTCCTATCGGGAGCCTGCGAGCCGGAAGGAGAGGGCCACGCGCCTGGCTGACTCCAGCCAGGACTTGCGCTTGGGCCAGCCCCGCGCTTGGCCACTGTGCACGTCCATGAGCGAACACATTAAGTATTCATCTTGGGGTCATAAATGCATTTTAGTGAGGGGAATTTGCAAATATGGAACTGGTGAATAATGAGATCTACTCTGCTCCACGTCCCGTGGAGGCTGACACTCATCACCAAAGTGACAGGGGAAGTGGGCAGTGTTATGGGAAAAGCTCCCCTGGACGGGGCTTTGGTGGGGTTCAGAGGGTTTTCTGAGAACAGCCAGGTAAGCTGAGGCACAGGGCAGTTCCCTTTCCCAGCGAACCTCAGCGCCTTGTGTGTGTGAGGCTTCAGTATGGACACGACATCCCTTCACCTTGCGGATGCAGTGGGATCGCCACTCCTCTGCATAGAACCCTGCATGACTCCCATGTCCTTCAGATAAAAGCCAAAGCCACGAACAGTACCTAACTACCAGGGATGGACCAGTCGCTTCCCCTCCACTTCTTTGATCTCACACCAAGCCACTCCAAATTTTTATCTCTCTGAGACAGGGTCTCCTATGTAGCTCTGGCTGGCATTGATCTCACTACATAGTCCAGGCTGGCCTGAAACTCACAGAAGTTTGCCTGCCTCAGCCTCCTGAGTGTTGGGATTATAGGTGTGCATCACCACGGTCAGCAAGCAGCACACCGATTTTCTTAATGTTCCTCTGCACACACATCGAGCCTGCTTTTTCCCAGAGTTTCCTCTGCCTGAAATCCTTTTCTCAGGCTCGCCCTCTGTGGGGGACTTGGCCAAAGAGTGAATAGTTAAACTCAGGACCAAAGCACTCGGCTCTTCCATTTATTGAAATCTTCTTCGATCTCTTTTTTTAGAGTACTGTAGTTTTCATTAAAGAGATCTTTGATTT